GCAAAAACCTCTCTAAAAAAAAAAAGAGAGAAAGCAGCTGCCCAGCGTGGCCGGCCCTGCATCTGGACCCGGTGGGCAGCCCACCATGTCCTGCTGTCTGAGCACCCCACTGCTTCCAGGCGTCCAGCCTGGAGTGGTGGTTGCAAGCTCGTGGGCCTCCTGGCTGGCGCTAAGTCCACAGCCTGCTCAGGGCTGCCCGTGCCTGGTGCTTTCTCCTGTTCTCAGTGTTCTCTGGTCCCCGCCTGGGTCTGCACATGCTGGGGTCTCCCTGTGTCTGTCTCTAACTCCTCTTTGTCTCCTCTTAGAAGGGTCATCGCAGTTATGTCCAGGGGCCAGGACCGGCCTGACCTCCCAGGGTCCTTCAGCTAGCAGCATCGGCCGAGGGCCCTTTCCCATCAGTCCATCTCAGTGGCGCCGAGGAGGGGCCTCTCTTCAGGGTCCTTGTCAGCCTCCCACCCCATGGTCTCAGGGCCCAACCTCAGCCCTTGTTCCCTCCCACACTGCCTGCTCCCCGTCAGACCTGGTGCCAGCTGCCATCAGACTAGGTCACTCTGGCTGGAAGGTGGAGTGGGTACAGGACACACCTGGGCACCGATGTGCGGCGGGTCCCTCGGCCGTTGCTATGATAAAGCGCCCCGAGCCTGAGCTTCCAGCTGCAAAGCGGCCGCTCTCTGCACCGTGGCCGAGTAAGCGTGAAGGGGCGGGAGGCCAGGATGGGTCCTCCTTCTCCTCCTGGTCCTGGATGGACAGGCTCAAAGAGTTTGAGGAACAAATGAATCCAGTTTCCAGGTTGGACTGTAGCTCGAGAGATTTGTTTGAGATCTGTAGGCCTTTTTTCCCTCTTATGGAAGAAAATCTAATCTGGGAGATAGTTCCATTAAAAACATTGGTTTAATACTAAAAACGAAAACAAAACCAGAGCCTACTGGAAAAAACAACAGTCCCAGTCATGTCAGGCGCACCCAGGCAATGTGACCGGCCCCTGGTCCTCTTGTCAGCTGAGCCTTCTCGCTGGTGTGGGTGCTCAGGATGTAGGAAACACGGGGGTTTCTGCCCCTGCGCCCGGCTGCATGGCAGTAGTCACTCTGACCACCTGTGCCAGCCACGGTCAGAGCCTGTCTTCCCAGCCTCAGGGAAGCAGGAAGCACACAAAGACTGGACTGAATGGTGGTCCCCAAGCCCGTGTCCTTGTTCTGACCCCAGCGCCAGTGAACGTGGCCTGGTTTGGAAAAGGGGTCTGGGTGACACAAGTGCGTGAAGGACCTCGAGAGGTCAGCCCCCCAGTCCTGTCATGAGCTGTGAGCTGCCCCGTCTGCAGCAACAAGTGGGGGGCCCTGAGAGCTGCTCTAGGAGGGTTCTGGGGTGAGGGGCATGTTCTCTCATCGTGCCCTCAAAATCGTCTCTAGGTCAGCACTCTCTGCCAGGGCCTCTCCTGCGCTGCGCTTGGCCCGTGGGAGGCCTGCATTGGTGGGGCTGCCCTCCAGCTCCTCCTGGCCCGGGTAAGCCGTCTAGCCCTCTGAGGCTCAAGTGCCCTGGTTGGTGGCACATCTGCAGGATGCAGGACCTCCTTGGAACTCCTGCTCTGGGCCTGGCATGGTCCGCGAGTCATTTCAGGTCATCCTCATGACAGTTCACTAAGGGGTCCAGTCCCCCCTCCTCAGAGGGCAAGTGGGGCCAGAGAGGGATCCAGCGGCCTCAAGCCTTGGTGAGGCCCACTCAGCCCTTCCGCTGCAGAAGGCCTCTAGCTCTGAGCTCCGCAGCCCGTCGGCCCTTGCTTGGGGCCTCCCATGAGCCATTGAGAGCCCACGTGGGTGATGTCATGAACTACCCAGAGATGCGGGCTGGACCCAGAGATCCCATCAGCTCCCAGGGAGAGCCCATGGCGTGGCAGGCAGCTCCTCACCGGCAGACAGTTCTTCAGAAGAGTTAGTACAGGAATCTTCCCAAATGCCGTTTTCCTTGGGTTTCAAACTCAACCTTTATCTAAAAAACACTCTCCCGGAGGGTTGGATGCCAAGGTCACTGGCTGGATGTTGGACAGTCTTGTCTGAATCAATGGCAAACTCACTGTCTGAAGTCAGTTCGGTGTCAGCAAAGGGCTGTTTCGCCTGGAAATCCCATTATTTTTGCAAGGTTTCTTTGGCATCTGGTGGGATATCCAGGTCCAGTCAGCCAGGCCTTGGTGGACATGACACGGAAACACAGCCATGTTGCACGGAGGAGCAGGGCCAGCAGACAGGAGCAGCTGGCGCAGTGAGCACACAGGGCTGCCTGCCCTCCGTCACACGCGTGCTTTGTGATCAAGGCTGCTCTGTCCCTGTACGCGAGGGGACGGCTCCTTGCTGCCAAGGGTCTGCTTCTTGGCCAGCTCCTGCTAGGCGTGGACATTTGGTCAGGACCACATGGCCAGGTGGTGACCGGGCCTGCTTGTGTGGGTGCGATTCCTGGTGGGGAGGTCCTGGTGCCCTGGAGGCTGGGCTGGGAGCCCTGGCAGGAGAAGGGCATCTTTGCAGGATTTTGGGCTGCGGAGCAGGAATCTGTGGGGGAGAAAGGCCTTCACTTCAGGGAGTGGTCCAAGTTCCCAGGAGGAGGGGCTGCATGGGAAAGCTTCTCAGTAGTGTCCCATTTCAGATGGCACGGCAGACCGGAGATGAATTTGCAGACCAGGACCAGAGTGCAGGGCTTCTCTTCCTGGCAGAACCTTCCCAGCTCACTCTTACAGACCGGGCTGGCCCACTGTCTCCTACACCTGCTCCCTCTGACGCCTGCTCTCCTATGCCTGGTCTTCTACACCTGCTCCCCTACACCTGCTCCCCTACACCTTCTCTCCTACACCTGCTCCCTCCAACGCCTGCTCTCCTATGCCTGGTCTTCTATAGCTGCTCTCCTACACCTGCTCTCCTACACCTGCTCCCCTACACCTGCTCCCCTACAACTACTCTCCTACACCTGCTCCCCTACACCTGCTCCCCTACACCTGCTCCCCTACACCTTCTCTCTTACACCTCGTCTCCTACACCTGCTCTGCTACACCTCCCCTACACCTGCTCTGCTACACCTGCTCTCTTACACTCTCCTATACCTGCTCTCCTACACCTGCTCCCTCTTACATCTGGTCTCCTACACCTGCTCCCCTACACCTGCTCTCCTACACCTGCTCTGGTACATCTGCTCCCTCCTATACCTGCTCTGCTACACCTGCTCTCCTACACCTGCTCCGGTACATCTGCTCGCTCCTATACCTGCTCTCTTACACCTGCTCTCCTACACCTGCTCCCCTACACCTGCTCCCTCCTATACCTGCTCTCCTACACCTGCTCCCTCTTACACCTACTCTCCTACACCTGCTCTCCTACATCTGCTCCGCTACACCTGCTCCCTCCTACACCTGCTCTCCTACACCTGCTCTCCTACACCTGCTCCTTCCTATACCTGCTCTGCTACACTTGCTCCCTTCTACACCTGCTCTCCTATACCTGCTCCCTCCTATACCTGCTCTCCTACACCTGCTCCCTCTTACACCTGCTCTCCTACACCTGCTCCGCTACACCTGCTCCCTACTACACCTGCTCTCCTACACCTGCTCCCTCCTATACCTGCTCTCCTACACCTGCTCCGCTACACCTTCTCCCCTACGCCTGCTCCCTCCTACGCCTGCTCCCATACACCTGCTCCCTCCTATACCTGCTCTCCTACACCTGCTCCCCTACACCTGCCCTTCTACACCTGCTCTCCTACATCTGCTCGCTCGTACACCTGCCCTCATACACACTTGCTTCCATATACAACTGTTGCCAAGTGCGTGATGTTCACCTGTACTCCTCTACCTTCAGTGTCAGGAGAAGGCCAGGGCACCCCATTCACAACAAGGGAAGGGTAGTCATTTTGGGAGGGAAGAAGCACGAAGTCTTTGGAGCAGGCTCCTCCTGTTGGAGGTCACTGTGTCCATGCCTAGGTTGTCCCTCTCTGACCCCACTCTCAAGCCCAAGGAGGAAGGCACCACTAGGAGAGGCTCATGCCATGGGGCAAAGCTGACGTGGTGCCAGGTAGCAGTGTGACCACCAGAGATCAGAGGTCTTGTCTGCTGGACAGGGTCACTGTTCCTCACTTCCATTCCCTAAGGGGCATCAGGATGCAGGGGCAGAGGAGTGCACCAAGATGGTTAAACCCAACTCTTCCAGAGCACAGAGCACCTTGAACCCTGGAGTTCCCCAAAGGCCCATGGATTGGGACTGCTAAGGTGTTATGGGTGAACTATGTCCCTTAAAGGAACACAGCCCCAGCTCACCCTCCTGGGTTCACTTAATGCCCCAGGAGACCATGAATTTCTGGAAGCCAGGCAGGTGTGTGCATCCAGGCATCCCATGAAGACAGGCTGCCTGGGCTCCTCCGTCTCGTCTGTGGGCCCAGAGTTCTTGCCTATGGTGGGGGGTGGGGGAGGAGAGAATCTGGCTGCCTCTAGATGGGCTGGCCAGCTCCTGGTGATCTGGGAGGCTGCTGTGACCCTTTGGGAGGGAAGAGGAAACACTGAGTCCACCAGGGGGCCCTTGAAGCTTGCCACGGATGTCTGTGGGCTGGCTCTTCGGTGTAAGAAATGGCGAGAAGAAACACAGGGCAACGAAGGGAGGCTGGCCATCGGTCCAGGGTGCAAAGTGCAGGGCACACCTGACCTGCCCCGCTCTCTGCTAGACCTCGGGACTCACAGCTGTGGCCGCCGGGCTCCTACGGTCAGCTGCAGGGATGCGGGTGCTGGGGCAAAGGGCCATGGTCAGAAGTGGACGTGCAGGGACGGGCTGGATGGGAAACAGGTCAGTCATGGGATCTGAGCACGACACACATACAGCCCAGGGGCTGGGCAGAGAGTGGCGGTCATTCCCACAGACCCGTGCTGACAGCTCAGTCCCCGGCTGGGATGAAGCGGGAAACCCACGTTTGGCAACTCGGCTGGCTGATGGTCGGGCCTCTGCTCTCGGAGAGGGTGAGCTGCATCTGTCCTGGCTGCTGGCAACGGCCGGTGCCCTCTCAGCTCTCGGGGGCCCGAGGGTGCTCATATGATCGCCAGCTCCCAGAGTACCGGTTATGGCAGACTAGGCCACAGTTCTGAGTGGCAGGTGGCAGGAGAGCTGGCT